TAAACTTTCACATAAATCACAATAAAAAGTTAAAACAAAAAATGGTGCTACTTTGCAACATACATAAAAACGTTATTACTGAATTATTATGTTAAAGATGTTTTAGTGTATCTGGAAATGTTTCTTTAATGTTATTAACTGATAATAGATAGGAACTGTAGCTAACAGTTTCTACTAATGCACGAATTCAACTTAAAGACAGACTTAGGAACAAAACTTGTTTAGAATCCAGGCATTGCTTGTAGTGAATAACATCTTGGATTCAATGAGATCTTTACCACTTACCAGCATTATAATCTTGAGCAAGCTAGATAACTGAGCTTTAGTTTTCTTTTTCTTTTTGAAAATAGGATGATAATAATAGTTTTTGTCTTATAGGTTTGTTTTGAAGATAAAAATAATTAATGTAAGGCACTTAGCTAGGTGCTTGTCACCTAAATTATCCATACATATTCAATATGATGATATTGATGTCTGGTTCATTATACTTTGATAAATTATTTAAGAAATTAATAGATGTTCATATTAACTAAAGATTTTAAAGTTGAGATTTATATTTTTAATTCTTATTTTTATCATGTTAAGGTCATAGAATTTGGATTTATTGTGTTTTTTAATGTGTGTAAATCAAGTATTATAAGTTTCTATTGTTTTCTAAAGTTGTTTGCACTGCCTTCCAATTTTGTGTCATTAGGGGCTCCTATAGTGGGAGCACAATGATGGAGCATCTCACTAAATAGCGAAAGTTAATACAATTGTCTTAGTGACAGATATACAGCACAACACTGGATCCTTGATTGGTCACTCAGTGCCCCAATTTCTTCTAAAATAAATCATGCAGCTGACATAACCAACAGATTGAAGACAGAAGAACATTTTCCCTCTGGAAATAATTTTTGCCAAAATAATGAAGATAGTCCCTTTAAAAGGTTGTCTTTAATAAATCAACCATTTAGTCTCATAGTATTAAGTTCTTCATCCTTTTTATTCAGTATTTTTTCCACATATCTGTAAATGTTTTCTTTGCTTCCTAAATGTATATGCTAATAAATTAATGCAGCGAATGAAGCTCTTCTTGGATGTGTACTGTGCTTTCCAGGCCTGTGAAACATTTTATGCATTTGTCCACCTACAAGTGCTTCTTAGTTCATATTAGAAACTGTGAATATGTGTTTCCTAATCTTGAAGAAACCAGTGCCAAGTTGGAATTATTGGAAAGTAGTAAGTTATTCACCCAATTATTATATGTCCTGAAAGCCAAATACATATTTCAGATGTTATGGCTGATATTACACTGCTACACGGTACAGACCAAGCAATTTCCAACTGCTTGCTATTTATATGCCTTCTTTTTTAGAAAGGAGTTTAGCTTTGAGGGTGATAAGGGGGGCATAAAGTTGCTATGGCTTGTCAGACCACCGTTTTTATCTCACTGCAACTGGTGGGACAAGATCAATACCTGAATCAGACAGTCCAATAGAAATATTCCATTTCTTACAGTAACCAACACCTGCACTCAGGTCTATTGTACTTGGGTTGTGGGAAGAGAATGGCTTAGTAGAGTCATTTGAACTGAGCTGATGTTATAACAGAATATCATCACTTCACTGTATCTCTTCCTAGCAATTTGCAGTCATCTGAGAAATTAATTAAGTTGATTATGAACCAAATAATTTATTCTCCTTTATATTGTAATATCCTCACCAAAAAATCCAAAAAACTCACTGCCATTGAGTTGATTCTAACTCATAGCGACCCCCATTGGGGGTCCAATTGGGGGAACCATTGGGGTTCCAAAGCTGTAAATCTTATGGAAGCAGACTGCCCATCTTTCTTCCATGGAGTGCTGATGGGTTTGAAGCCCTGACTTTTGGTTAGCAGCCAAATGCCTTAACCACTGCACCATCAGAGCTCCTTATTGTAATATTCTAAGACCCACAAATTTCTTGAACGATTTAATCCTTAGAGAGAGACAACCCTTGATGCTTATTTTTGTTCTGTCATTTATCAACAGTGTGACTTTGCCAAGTTAAGTTACTTACACTTTAGCTGTAAAATTGCAATATGTTATTGTGAGGACAGCAGCATATGTTGACCTACATAGCATGGCCCATGGCACATACTGGTACTAAATGAATGTTATCCTCCCCATCTCCCCATCACAGCACAAGGGCTTTGTGGAAAACTCTGGTTAATCACAAAAATCTTTAAATGACTAGCTCATACTTCATGACAAATTCAAATATTTTTTTAAATTGAATTTTTCCAAAATTTTATTTTTAGGTGCTAGTCAAGACCATGTTTATACACATAGTTATGATGCCGAAAGAGAGAATTTTAATGCCTACAATGAAACAGAACTGGACGCCTGGGTCTTTGATAATGTTAAGGTGACCGCTGTTATGTAACTATTCTGCAACACACCTATTTGTAACTTAAAGTACTGGAAATTAATTTATTAATAAACACAAATAGCTTAGTTTTTTACTACTTTGATTGTCTCTGCGTGGATGTGAACGTTTTTATCTTGAAGAAAACTATCTTGAAAATACTGAATTCTGAGAAACTACATTTTATAGTAGTCAATTATGTATAAAATTTAAAAAATTATTTTGAAAATACCTGTTTCTAACAGTAGAAATAATCCTACACTGGGAGCCAGGAAACCTGCATTCCATTCTTACTTTGGTTAGTTACCACAGGTAACCTCGATCTTCCGTCACTCATGAAACCCAGCCAGCTTCCTGCAGTACTGGGGTCATGTGAAATGTTCAAGCCCTTTGAGAAGTGCTGTTCAAATGGAATGCGTTTCCAACAACGTAAAATGGATGACATTTTAAAACAATTCTTTCTTACTTTAAAGAAAAGATTAGATAAGCGAAAACAAAGCAGCAAGTTA